TGATTTTGCAGCCATTTAGCCCTTCAGTACAGGTGATCAGTGTGTTAGTCCCCCATCGTGTCCATCACGTGCAGGATCTGCAGAAGCAGGGACCCAGAAGGAAGATATGTGAAACCCCACCATTCTGCTAAGTGGGTTTACGAGATGGTGGGCTCACTGGGGCTGCTGTTTGCATGTCACACTGGTTTTGTGCTCTGCTTTTCAGGCACAGTGGAGTGTGTTGAGCCAGCAGACAGTGTGAATTGTGTCACTGCAAGTTCAAGCTGACACCTTGTTCACCCAATAAAATCTACTTAGACTTTAAATAGCCAAAACATGTTTTGGAAGCACTGCTGGTCTTGAGCACAGACCTTTTTCCTTCTCCTGGGACATTTAGACATTTGACTTAAACACCCTGAAAAATATTTAAATAGTTCTAAAGAAAAGCAAGATTTTAAAGAGGTGCTTCTCTTTAGTTGCTCTTTCTGGATACTGCGAGGCCGCACTCACTGCTGGCTGTGGGCATCCTCACCTTCTCTTGTGAGCAGACTGTCCCTAGGTAGCACCAGCAAGGCCAGATACTGAAGACAGTGCCAGCTTCTCTGTCATTTGGGGGCATGCATGCCCAGAAGCAGCTTGTCTCCAAGTGTGCCTGACATTTGAGCTTATCCCTGTAGACTGGATTAGAGGAGAGAGGTCCCTTCTGCAAAGTATGTGCTTAAAGCACAAGCTGACCTTAACTCTCTCACCAGCCATAAAATCCTCCAAGGATACATCAGGAAAGAAAGTGTTAGCAAGGACTTGTGAGGACGTCCCTTATAAGCATCTGGACTGCTTTTGAGCTGTGGCTTGGCCAGACATGATATGTGTGCTAAACCCTCTGAAAAATTCACATTTCCAAGGAAAGATTTGTGCAACAAGGCTGTTTCTGTCCTTTGATGGGCTATGTGGAAAGCGATTAAAATGCAATTTCTGTAACTAATATAAATAATAGAATATGTTATTCTAAGTCAAAAATATAGAGTGCTTTTTTTCCAACTTTAAATTGTGATGGTTGGTTTAAATTGATATCGTTGAATGTTATGAACTTTAGAAAGCCTCAGAGGTAAGCAATAAATCCACACGGATCTGCATGGATGCATTTTCCAGACTCTGCTGTTCTCCTGACCCATTTATTCTGTGCCCAGTTCAGCTTTGCATCATTGTTGAGTGCTGGTGAACCTGTATGGCCGGGCTGGGCAGCTGCCTCCAGCCAGGCACCGAGGAGTGTGCAATTAGCCGTGCTCCAGCACGATCTGGGTGCTGGGAGCCATGTAGCTCAGCAGTCACCTTTCAGAGACCTGCAGGAAAAAATAAACAACTGGGACTTGTTTCTCTCAGGTATTTCTTTTAACTAGATGCTTTTTTGTCTAAAGCATCAGATGAACAAATCTTGCTAGCACATTTTAGGGATGGAGAGGGTGTCACTGGCTTTATCATGATCTTGAGGTTTGGCTACAGCCTGGCTAATCATAGCATCTCATCACCTCACCGAACATGAAGTCATATTCACATGGCAAGGCGTGTGGGATTTAGTAGGATTTAATTCCTGTTGTGGATGAGAGCACTTTTGGCAGATGCAGTTTCTCTAGACTTGAGCTGAAATGACTGCAAGTCCTGGAGCTGCTGTGAAGCTGTGGCTCTGAGTGACACCTCAACAGCCCTGCCCCGATCCAGTGCCGTGGGCAGGGCAGGCACCAGAGAAATCCTGGCGTTAACTTCAGGCCATTTCGGGCTGCTGCTGCCAGATTCACCCTTAGTGTCTGCAAGTAGGAATTTTTTCCTTAGTCAGCAAACTCAGCAGAACAGGTGATGTAGAGAACTGAGAGGGAGGGAAAGGTAACAAATCTGTCCGGCAGAAAAAAAGCTTCAGTGTTTGAACTGGTAGCACTAGGTCTGGCCAAAGCTCTGAGCCTGGCTTTTGGAGTCTTACAGGCAGTGAGTCATCTGGAACAGCTTTGAAATTTTTTTCTTTATCATTTCTTTCTTTAATGTTCTTCGAAATGCAACTGAAGCTGGAAGAATAACAACTGGACTGTACATTCACGCCACATGGGGAAAGCGTGCCGGATCCCGGCAGCCAGCGCTGCCTCCCGGTCAGACACACCCGGAGAGCATCACCCGGTGTGCACGGCGCTGCCAGCCCCCCGCTACTGCAGCGGCACGGCTGCAGAGCTTGCTTTGCAGGCGGTAATGAAGTTCTGCTGCTAATTCCTGCATAGCACAAAGAAGAAAAGGCCCAAATTCTCTCCAGCTCCCAAAGAGTCAAGTGAAGAGGCATTAAAAGTGATATATTTGAAAACTAGCGGCATAGCTGGAGTTGAGGGGATACTAACCTAAACTGTAAATTACAAAAAAAAAAAGGCATGTGCATGGCTTGGCTAATGACAGCAGTAGGAAAAAGGCAGTTTGCCCTTAGGATGTCTGGCTCTGCTTTCTTTCCATTTCTTATTTGTCCTTTGAACTGTTGTGCACACCTGGACATAGCAGGATGCCAATATTAGATACCCCAATCATCAAGCACTACTAGAACCGCTTTGTAAAGCTATAATTTTGTCAGTTGTTTAAACTGGGATTTCTGAGATAGAGCTGTAGTGATTTAACATTTTATGTTCTTTTACCAGTTTTGATCATCTCACAGCTGCTGCTCACAAGTGCAACGTTTGGCTCCTCTCTCTAGCCAGCTGCAAACTTTCCAAAAGTTGTTAAGAAGGCAGTTTCTGTCTGACTTATTGTAGTAGATTGATATTTTGACTTTTCTTGTTATTTTTTCTAAACTTATTTTAATCTATGGCACATCCATTTTGTTTACCATACATAATGCTCTGTCCAGTGAGAGAGCATGATGAGTTCTGTAGTTTATTTTCTAATGGCAAAATTGCTTCCAACTTTCTATTAGACTTTTTCTGAGGAACTAAAGTCTTCATTAAACATTGTCAGATATCATGGACTTTGACTTAAAACTTCTGTGACATGAGGGACTGCCTCTACACAGGAAACTTTGTGCTCATGCTGGCATTAAAGGCAAAGTGATGGAAAATTTGAGTGTAGAAAGTTGATGTTATTCAAGACAGAGAGTTGTGTTACAGTGTGCACTTTGAGGAATATTTTTTCCTTTCGTAACTTTTCCGACCATATTCTTCTCATGATTAATGATCATTCCAAAACTCGGTAGTGAAACTCAGAAAACAAAGCAGCAGCATTAGTCTTTGGAACAAGCAGCAAAATAAATTACTCCATATAAATGAATACACTTACTGTTTTTGAGGAAGCACTTTCTAAGAAATTGACAGGAGCAGAAAACGTTCAGCCAAAATATCTGAGGAATTTTAAGTAATTTGAAGAAGGTGCTTTTGGGAGAGCACTGACTGAGGGCAGAGGCTGAGCTGCTTGCTTGCCCCACAGCCCGCTTTGCCGGCCCCAGTGAAGGGAAAAGCCCAGCTCACACCAGCAGCTGGTATTTTGCCACCTGAGGACCCCATGCGCCAGCCTCCCCCCCAGCCCCCCAGCCGGTCAGAGAGGGGCCAGGGGTCCCATGGGAGGCATGAGCCTGAGGGCTGGGGGACCACCACTCTGGAGCCCACCAGCCGTAGCTGTTACGCACCCATGCAAAGAAAGCTCCTCCTTCAGCAAAGCTGAGCGGTTTTTACTGCCGTCCCAGGGAAGGACATCAGGCAAGCAGCCAAAGCACCTTGCTCAGGCTGTTTCTCGTTATCGCCCCAGGTGTAACGAGGGGCTGGCCTGGCCCTACCATTCCTTCACCAGCCACGTTTCTCCCTGCACTGGACCCAGAGGGCTGCAGCCATGTGTGGCCATGGGGGGCTGGTCTCCTGTTGGATAGGGTTTGCTGGGCAGCATCTACAGTCCCACTGCACAAAGGACAGTGTGAAAATGGATCCTTCGAGAACTGTCCTCCCTCTCTCTGGCATGAGCAAGTCTTTTCACTTGGTCTACGGGTCCATTGACTAAATAAGACCAGCAAGGTCAGGTTAATAAACTAGACTTTTCCCTTTGTAACTCAAAACCTCTCAGTCATTAAGATTAATTTTATGCCCCCAATTATGTGTTATTTATTTTTTTTTTTATTTATTTATCTCCCAGGTAATAAGGTTGTCAGAACTGCAGTACAGCAAGGGTCGGTAATCATTTGTTGAAGTGGATATTGTTCTTCAGCACAGACAGAAATCATTTTCATTGCTTCCTAGCCACAGCACATTACAAACTGTATGGCCCTTGACTGTCACAAGAGGCAGCACCCAAGCCTTACAGAATCATAGAATCATAGAATGGTTTGTGTTGGAAGGGACCTCAAAGATCATCTAGTTCCAACTCCCCTGTCCTGGGCAGGGACACCATCCACTAGATCAGGTTGCTCAAAGCCTCATCCAACCTGGCCTTGAACACTTCCAAGGATAGAGCATCCACAAATTCTCTGGGCAACCTGTTCCAGTGCCTCATCACCCTCAGAGGGAAGAATTTCTTCCTTAGATTTAATCAAAATCTACCCTGATTATACAGTCTGAACACAACACGACACAGGAGCATCGCCCTTGAACAGGAAAACATCACCAGGGCTGGACTGTTACCTGCTTCGACAGAGGCTCTGAGAAGAATATTCCAGGTACTGGAGGCACCATGAACAGGGCACACCAGTTTGGCATGGCCAGCTGGAAGCACAGGGGGAAAAGGAGGACATGGTGCAGGGCAAATACAGGGAGAGAAACACCTGCCCTTCGGTACTATCCCCTCCTTTGCAAAGGCACAAGAGAATTGTTCTTCCAAAATATCTGTATTTTGGAATGTATATCTCTGGGGCTAAAATGCTCTCTGCTGAGCCTGGTGCAGCAACGCTCAGCAGCAGGGAAGCAAAGATGGGGAAATCAATCCCACTCTACCACCGTTTTGTGAGGGTGCTCTGGAGAAGCCATTGTCCCAACCCAGTGCGGATGAGACCAGAGCAGGCCACACAGAGCAGTACTCGGAAAACTAAAGCAGCATCTTTATTTTATACATAACTGTCAGTATAAAAAGTTTATTACATAAGAGCTGTTTTGTTTACAATATATTATATTGCTTCAAGCCAATGCAGAAAGTTCGTACATTATAGTTCTACTTTGTTTACAATATACTATGTTGCTTAAATGGCACCACGGCAGTGTATTCTTAATACACAGTACTTTGCAAAACTGTAAGGTCAAAAATAACATTGAATTGAGTTATTCAGTTTTTAAATTAGGTAACATACTTATTTTATTTATTTTTCTTAGGGAAAAGTCTAAATACACAATAGCAAAAATGTAAAAGGCACCTTTCTTTTGTCTTAGACAAATTAAATCTGTAGTCATTGAAATGATTCAGCTTAGCATCTACAAGGTTTTCTGCTTGAATATTGTTACTTAATTTTTGGAAAATATTTGCAGCTATATAATTAAAAAAGGAAGTTTAAACAAAACTGAAGTATAGTACAAAACACCATCCAAAGCACTGAAAGAAGCAGCCTATATAATCATGCTATAGAAGTATTTATAAAACTTAAAAGGAATAGTAAATATCAGCTCAGTGGTTTATAATGAAGCTAATAAAATTGCAGCCGGTAATCTTAACTGTAATGAACAGCGTTTCAACATTCAATCCACGAGAGGTTAATGAAGGCTATGAACTTTGTGTAACACGAACCGTTTCAGATGTTGGAGTTCACCAGATATAATTGGATTCGGGTGGAACATGCCTCTCCTCGGCCTTTTTCGGCGAAGGCGTGTGCTGCCTGTGCTTGCTGCCTGCTGGCCTCAGGGCGCTCAGACCGCTGGCTCCGTACCCTGGAAAATTACCCAGTTCAAGAGAAAAGAAACCACAGAAGCGGGCTTGAGATCCGCTGCTAATATTTCAAGTGGAAACAGTCCCCCCGATTTGAACAAAGGATTTTGCTATGCCTTATGCAAGTGCTTGCCCCTCTCTTTGCTGCCTGGGACAGACGTGGTGCTGCCAGATGGGCTTAATGGCAGAAAGATGCTCTTGCCTCGCCAGCAAGCCCAGGGGACCATTAGTGTGCCCAGGCTGTCACTCAGCCCCGCGACCACATGTGCACAGCCCACACGTGGGTGAGAGTCATGCTGGTCTGCCAGTGACGGGCTCTAAAGAGGGGTGTAAGCATCCCCCTTTCAGGAAGTATCTGCACCAGCCACCTGAGCTTGGCTTTGGTTTATGGCTGAATACAAAGAGAAAGAACAGCAGTGACAATAAACACCTTGGAGAGACAAAAAAGCAGCCTGAAACAAGCTTAGCAGAGCTGCTTTGTTGTGGAAAATGAAAACGAACAATAAAAACGGAATTCAAAGTATTATGTTGTAATTGTTTATAGTTTCATGTACCCACCTCATTACTTAAACCTCATGGAAATTACTTTGAAAACCTGAGCCCTGTGTTCAATTTTTTTAACCACTTGTTATTAAGAAAACAGCTCTACCAAGGAGCCATTCATTTGATGGAGTATGAAGCAAGTCTCTCAAATTGACTATAAATCTCCTCTTGAGATCAGATGTTTGGTTTTAGCTGAAAAGCCGAATTGCAGTGCATGTAGACTTCATGTGCAATTTAAACCTCACATGGTCACTTAAATCGAGGGTGAACTTTATCCAAATGGCCCATTGTCAGTTTCTTTGCTGAATACAAAGAGAATTTTGCAGTGTTAAACACAGCAGGACTGTACCCAGACTTCAAGTAATTAAGGATGGAAAACCTCAGAGCTGACAATGAAGTGTGACTATTGACTCCTCATAACATGGCAGTTATGAGTTTTGGTTTTGTTCTACAGGTAATTAATTCTTTGGAGACGTTCATCCATAGCACACATTTTATTCACTTGCTATCTCAGTTCTTTATAAGAAGAGTATTGCAAGAAGCAAAAGTTCATACTGAACGTAGGAATTGAAGTTCATCTTGATTTCCATTTTTTCTAAGCATGACTCGTATTATGGTATTTCTCCTTCAGGGAAAGAGATAAATACAGGTTGACTAGCTAACAGCAGAAAAGTGGACTCCCCAAACCTAATTTTCACAGCAGAATCCATAGATGATACGCATGTTTTAATGAAACAACTATATTTACTCTAATATATTGTAACGTGACACAAATCACAGACATCAACAGCATTTAATAAAAATCATCATTCAGTTGATGATGCAATGTAAGATTCCTATTTCTTATGGCTAATTGGTGGAGTTTATAGCTGCAAATTTTTTCAACTATTTTTTTATTGTTGATGCTTAAAACATTAAGTTTGAATCATTAGCTAACAGTGCTTATGATAAACATTAATACCTCATGGGAGCTTGTTCAGAAGGTCTCTTGATCTGCTGTTATAGCAGTATTGCACATGAAACATAAAACTAAATCTGAAGTTCTTACTGGATATTGCCTATCAAATAATTTTATAGTGTTATTTTAAATTCACTGAAATGACCACTTGCCTCACTGGGTATCAAACGGGTCAATAACCACAACAGAAATTCATCTTAAGGACTTTAGCTTTGCTTTGGGACAGTATCTTTTGTGTTCTGTGGAGGACAGGTGGGGAAGAGGAGGAGAAAACTCTGAAGTCGGAAAGCATAGACCTTGCATAAATTTCAAGTTTTCCCCAAAGTTTCTAAAGGACATTTCAGTCTTTGTAAGTTTTAATCAGTTTTAAAACCTGACAGAGTTTTATTTCTAAAAATGCCTACCCAACATTTTGAAGCCAGCTGGCATTACTGAGAAGTACTGAAGGACTTTAGATCCCTTCCATATCATAGGTGGAAGACACATGAGGTCATCTAGAAATCTAGTTGATACTAGATTCTGGAATTTCTAAGACAAGAGTGATCTTGGTAAAACACTTTTAAATGATTCTGAGGATTTTTTAAGTAGTTAAAATTATGGAGTATTGAAAATCTTTGTTTTATTGTTTGGATTACAGATTAGAAAAAACAGAGTGCGGTATCATCAGTGATGCTGGAAAGGCTCTTGAAGCAATCATTTCTGTATGGCATTGGATGTGTAAGACCCCCGATACGGACTCTTGGGGTTTGTTTCTCACTTACTTTTATTGCAGTGTCTCCCGTGCCAGCCTTCTTTGCACTGGCACTTGTTAGGCTCAGCACAGGTGCCGTACAGGCCACAGCCGGGTTCGCAGACAGCTGTAAGAAAGTGAGTACATATGCCTGACCTCTTAATGTTTCATCCAGAGGCAGAGTTGCATATTTCCTTTCCTTGCTGTTCCTCAAGACGGGTTGATCCTGGCATGGGCTTGGGTTCTCACAGTAAATCTGTGACTTTGCACTGAGTGTGCACAGAGCCCCAAAATAGTTCATCCCCCAATTCCCCTACAAGCTCTAGCTCAGTCTTTCATAGGCAGAAGCAGATGGAGGAGCAGAGCTGAGCATACACCAGAACCAGCGGGAGAAGGAGGGTAGCCCCCAGCATCCTTCTCACAAAGTGCTTCTGTTGGATTTTAATGTTGCAATGCACTGACGATTTAGTAAGCATTTCTCTTTTACTAAACTGCTATTACTGAGCTGATACGTTGCTGTTTTATAGAAACTCAGAGTGCAGAGAGACTGTGGGAAGACTTTTGTACAAAAAAAGCTTCTGGTTTCATAACTCCCTTAAGAATGGTGTATGCTGTATATCCAGAAAGTAAATTAACCTGAAATACTTTGACAACAAACAATTATTGCTGACATTATTGTAAAAAGATGCCACACAGCCAGCTTGATGCTCCAACAACAGGGACTGAGGGACCTTTGGTACTTACGCTTTGAACACAGGTCTCCCTGGTAGCCTTTGGAGCACTTGCATTTATTCTTACCAGTACATTTGCCTCCATTTCGACAGGGCTGATGGCATTTACCTAGAAATCAAAAACACGGAAACAATGGTCTTAGTCCCCGGCACCAACTATCTCAGACAGGTGTCTGAGAACGCTGCCTTGTGCCCAAAAACCTCATCCAATGCTGGTGTAAGAGTGTGCACTGTGGATCCATCAGGAAGACTCTGCTGCAAGTCTCTGCTTCCAATTTATATGCATTCTTCTGCTTTGTAAATAATTTGGCATGGCCAAAGCCTGTGTGTCCACGCAGCTTTTGCCCAGATTTGTGCCACTCGGACTGCTGAGTTCCTCGTGCCACCGGTCAGCATTGCCCCTTGCTCTCCTCACCCTTTGTGGGGGAGGCAGAGGTGTTCGGACTTCGTGTTTGTAAAGAGTGGGATCCATACCCACGAGCAGAAGAAAATCTGGTGGCGTCTGAGGGAGGTTTTAAGCAATAGGATGCTCAGGAACCGACAGGCACGGCAGCTACTCGCAGACAATGAATGGGTTGGCTGGTCCTGCCAGCTTGTAACGAGCGGCTGTGGAGCACCACGGCGCTGGGGATGGTGCGACGAGGGCTGTTCCACCCCACAGCTCAGAAACTAAAGGCGCATTAAAAAAGCGTGCCCGTCTTTCCTGTTTGCAAAGAACAGAGCGTCTTTGGTAACAGTAATTAGAACTGGCAGACATTTTTCCAGGCCTTTGGTCCGGAAATTACTGTCCCTCACATTCGCACTTTGCCAAAGGAAGAGGCTGGATCTGATGCCGCTGTTGTAGGAAGGGCTGTTTGGCCCTGACTCGCCTGGGGTGGAGGAAGTCCATGATGGTGGAGAAGATCCACGCTCAAGTTCCTGCCGGGCCTTCCTCAAATTAATTGTCAAGTCTCCCATCACCAGACTGTCAATCCCTTCTTAGAATTTGTCTGCTTTATTGAACTAATTAAATCTTCACTTGTCTCTCAGAAGGGTGAGTACAGGGCCAACAAGCTGGGTCATCCTCAGGCCAAGAGATGCTCACTGCCATGTCCCTGGGCACTCTTGGGCCATGAGGAACTACACCCTCAGCTTCTTGTTGCCTCGGTGGCCATATGTACCAGTGCAGCTTTTCTCACTGTCGTCCAAAACCTTTTTTCATCTTTTCTAATCCTGCAATGTTTTCTATGTTCTTCAGAAAAAAATAAAAATGCCCTTCCTAGATTTAGTACTAATATTTACCTGATTCTGTGAGCAAACAAAAACTGGAACCTGGGGCAGCAAACTACTTAATTTCTTTCATATTTTTTAAAAAAAAGGATGTTACCTGAGGCCTGCACATGATAATTTAAGCATCAACACTGGTTTGCTGTGCTGAAAGCCTCACAAAACGCACTCATCTCATGATCACAGTCTGTCCCCTTGGGAGCTCAATACCCCAGGCAGCACTTGCTCAGCTCTCAACCCTGGCGGACTTCTGCAATGCATGTGTGTATTGTCAATATAAAAGAAACATTTGTTCCTAATGTGCATAATTATTTTAATAGCCCTGAAACAAGCTTCATAATCAGCTGACGGAACAAACTGTGGTAAGGAGAGTTTCTGCAAAAGCACAATTTCCCTGCAGAAGCCTCTGGAGAGGGAACCTGTAGGTATTCTAATTCGGAAGCATTTGATTCCCAAGTAATTAATGATCCAAAGGAGCAATGCTAAGGAAAACCAGGAATTTTCCTAGTTCTTGGTGTAAATCCGGAGAACATGAGTCAAAGGGTGTGATACCAACTTCCACTGAGCTGCATTAGGCAAGCATTTGGCTCAGCACAGCTCAACTAACTTTGGACTACAATATATTCACAGAATGAAGGAAAGAGCAATAACTCTCTCTGTTATTGACTGAGAAATGGAAAAAGCATCAAAACAGTGACAAATGAGAGAGGAATCCAAAACAAAATAAAACTCTCTGGACTCAGACTGAAACACTAATTAGAGAAGATGCATAACTACAGCAGCTAGAAAAAATCTGGAAGACTGTGAATGCTTGTTAGTATTGTAGACTGGGTCTAGTACATTTCCCAGGAGTCTTAGAGAGTGATTCAACTACTAGACAAGCACTCAAAATCTTTAAGCAATATTAAAAAAAAAAAAAAAAGAACTTTGCAGTTTTCAGAAGATGGCTTTCTGCCCGTTGAAAGGTTTTCTCCCCTTGTTATTTCAAGACCCCCATGACTCAATGTAGCTGGCCCTGGATCTGAGAAAAGAGACTGAGTCGTGTTTCTCCTCTCGTGTTTCTAAGCCTCGTCTAGCATTTCTTGTCGTCTTCCACTGTTGTGCTGGCACTGGTGCAGTGGCCAGGGCTGGTAGCAGCCATCAATCATGGTCTAACAATTGCTGTCCCAGCTTTACAAAAGCCAAGGCAAGTGCATAGCTTTTCCTTGCTCTCATCAACATGATTCCAGTTTAGCTCTTAGCATATTCTGATCCTGATTTTTTTTCCTTTCTTTTGTACAGAAACCAGTTTACTGCCTGTATTTTAGTTAATTTAACTTGAGTCCACAGGTAAACTTTTGCAAGAAGCCAAAGTCAGTTGCACCTATCCCAAGTAGCAGTAGACAACAAATGAGCTTAAGAGCCCTTGCGACAGACCAGTTAAGTGCAGCACCCTTAATTATAAGTGCTGTAAAATCAGTTCAAAGAATTTTCTTCAAAAAACCACCACTGGCATAAAAAACATGCTTCTCAAACTGAGCAAAACCATATTCATCATCCGAGAAGTATCAGCAGTTGACTTCTTGGGGACTGAAGAAACAAATGAGATTCTGTCAGAGAGCCAAATTTTAACTTGATGTAAGCAAAGGTAAATTCAGTGGAACCCACACTGTTGTTCTCGCTGACATCTGATCTGAATTTATCAAAGGGCAATCTATTAATTTAATAACAATAAAGCTTTATTGCTTCCATTCAGCTCCAGTTTTGATTAGGTAAAAAGAAGTTGCAAAATGCCTCGTAATGTATAGAGATATGGCGAATCATTTACATACGTCTACTGTTTATCTAAACACAAATACTGAGCAAAATGTAGGTCTTATGGTATCTGTGTTCTTCCTCTGCACAGTAATTAATATATTGTCCTGTACTGGCTGACAGCACGTTAAGAGTTTATTTCCATGTGTTTCCAAATTTCATAACTGTGAGAAGAGCCTGTCTCTACTGATGCATATTAAGAAGTTAGCTCTCACGTATCCCAGGCCAACTGCTGCTCTCTGTGCTCCTGTGCAGGCGTTGGGGAACGTCAGTGAGATTATTTACAGCAGGGGAAGCTCCTCAGACAGCGTCCTGTTAGAAGCTTTAAACCCAGAAAGAACGACCTGGGTGTACGTTCTCAAAACTGAAACGCTCATACTCTATTCAAGTGTGGGGAACTATAGAATTAATCCAATTTAACAGAGCTGTGAGAAAACTCTTCTTTTGGTGAGATCAAATACTTGACAGCTGACCTCCCAGGTCTGCTCCAGCCTGGCCATGTCTCCACACCCAGCTTTACACAGTACATTTAGATCAACCATGAGCTAAAATATTTTGAATTGCTTTGATGCTAAACTTCTGAAAATAGCAAGTCTTTTGATGTTTGCGACACAGATTTGCAAGTTGCCATGTGAATGCAACTTAATATGTTAAGTGAAAGCTCTCAGCTTTCAAACCCTTCCATTCCCAGCTTACAGTAGCCCTTTCAAAGGTGCGGGCTCAAACCTAATCTGCTGTGTCCAAGTGCACTTTGCTGTAAAGTTTGAAAATAGCTGCTCCGCACAGGCTTGGCACAGCAGCACAGCTGTCTGCCACAGAGTATTGCTTGCATACTTACAGCTTGAGGGTTGTTACCAAGCCCAAAGAGCAAGAGTAAGAACAAAAGAGTAAGAACAAAACAAAGTAGGGGCTGAGATGGTCTAGCAACACATCAAACTTATCCCTAAGAAACGCATTTGGAGTCATGCAGCATCTGACCCTCTGAGAGCCCCGACCCACCGTGTGAGACCCTTGCCGTGAGTTGAGCAGAGGCAGGCAGCACTTCATCATTCAGACACTGGCACTAGAATAAGTTGATGTAAGTGAACGCAAGCACACGGAGATGCTACTCACTAATTTCACATTGGTCTCCTTCATAGCCCGAAGGACAAATGCATTTTCCCAGATAGAAACACGTTCCTCCATTGAAACAGGTTGTTGTACAGTTCGCTGAAACAAATAAAACAGGAATGAACTAAGTCACTAATATAAACAAAGTCTGACTTGGCCTTAATGTTTTCTGCTGCTCATCATAAATAAACACTGAGTAGCTTTAAAAAAGTTGCTTTTCATCTGGTTTACAAAGGAAGACTGAAATATGGGTTTTCCTACACAACGATTTACATGGGCACACACACAAGCCGATATAGAAAAAGACAAGTGAACGATACAGCAAGGATATCCCCAGGGACAGATTGTGTTACATCTTTATCATTCCTCACATGTAAAGCTCGTTGCAAGATCAAGTCACAATTGCTATTGAAACTGCCAGTGTCTGATAAAAGGAGCACAACCTAGGACTGGGAGTTACTTCTACAAATGGATACTTCACTACAGTTCTTAATTAATACTTTGGGAGATTCAAGGTTCAACTAGAAATAAACCTTTAGGAGTTTTCACTGTGTGTCTCACCTGCTGAATTACTTACACTGTATTAGATGTGACTTTTCACCAAACAGCTGGGATTCACATTAGTCTTACAGGTCAATATCCTTCAAGATATTGGGAGCATTTAATTACAGTGTACTTTGGAAACATTTTTTAAATACAGTAAAGGTCACGTCAAGGACTAGATACAAATCAGAAGGGCTTCGACCACAACAGTTTGTGCAAGCATACCTAAAGGCCTAGGAAGGTTCCCGTTATTTTGCTGGAAAGTCCACAAGGACCTTTTGCACTTAGTCATTACTTCTTATAGTTCTGCAACAATAAATGCAACATGATGTTCTGTAATCTGCTCTGCTGTGAGCAGGTCAGTTACATTTCTGCAGGAAACTACTTGGTTTTTTCTATGTGGTATCTGCTCCAAATTACTGTTCTGAACAACTTATTGTTCCTTTTTATCCTTCCTGAGCCACAATGCAGAAACAAAAATGAATAAACCACTTATTTTTCCATGTGTCCAGATACAGCAAATTAATGTACTAATTAGTAAAACTAATTTCACTCCAAATACTCAAATGGCGATCATTTTTTTTTCCTAGGCCAGAAATATAAGTGAATTTTGGGGTAGGTCCCATAGCTTTCAATGGATCAGCTAAAGAGATTATCTAAATTGCCCTTCACTGAGCTACTGTATATGGATGCCTGCACATCCAGCTGTGAAAGCACTCCCAGCAACTCCCTGGTTGTGCTAAAGCATCTATTTGAAGAACGACAAAACATCCTTTAAAACTTACTTAATTCATCACTTGCCTGACTTTCCAAAATCCACTCCTAGAGGGAAACTAACACAGGTGAATAAAGAGAGGTTACTGGATAACGAGCCCAGGGGGTTTTAGCCAGCAGTTACCTTTGTCGCAGTTGATGCCATAGAACCCAGGGGGGCAGATGCAGAGGCCAGGTGTAATGCAGAGCCCACCGTTCATGCAGCGAGGAGCACACAGCGCTGAGGAGCAGGAAGAACAGAAAAAACATCGCTGGTGTGATAGCAACTGTCTATTTGAATACACAACACATTGTCTCCTTAAGCTACCTTTCCTTCTGCTGAACGTGACAAGTCACCTTTGTAAAGTATCTTTGTTAGTGGGTTAAATCAATGACCACTCTGGTTTGTATCTGGCAATTTGTATACAGCGTTATCAAAAAAGTGAAGATTAAATTATGCTCAAATCGATTCCATATGTAAGCAGAAATTGCCTCTTGTACAGTTTAATCACAAACTGGGGACAGCAAAGTGCTCCCCTATCCACTCTGGATATTTGAAGTCCTCCTCCACCTCTGTAAGTGGACTCTGGTGCTGCAGCTGGTTTCTCAGCTCTGCAGACAGGACTGTCTCTTTGATGGCTGCGCTCAGAGGTGTCAGCAATTCAGTGGGGTTCCCAGGTAGGCTTTACAATGAACCCTCCCTTCTTCTTCTGCATACCTGAGCATAAGCATGGATACCTAATTTGGGCTAGGGGAGCCTGTCGTATGGCCTGGTTTGATGGCCAAACTGTCCTGCAAGCTCCCCATGAACCTCCTCCAGCATCCCTGCGCTCTTCCAAGCCTTCTCTGCATCTGTAACCTCCTCTTAAGGCTCTTCCAGGGAGGCACATCACGTGGCAATGCTTCATTTCGTGGTTGCCCGAGACTGGGTCCATACTAGTGAGATAAACAGCACCCAGGCAGGGGGACAGGTGGAGGCACAGGATCATCCCTCTGGAAAACCTGTTGGTGCCATTCCTGGCACAGCTTTGTCCCTGGACAACAGGCAAATCCTCATGGGTATAGCCCTAGGATGAGCAGCAGCCACAGGCTCCTCCCAGCAGGGAGTTTGGAAGGTTTTTTTGGAGGGTAAGATAGTTGATTACACATACGAATGCAAACTGAACCATCCCAGTTGGCCTCCAGGTCAGAGAACTCATTCTTTGTACTTGATATTTTAGATGTAGCCAGAGCATCTGGGAGCTCAGTGAAGGATGCCATTGGAACAGGGTGCCCACAGGGATGTTTTGCTCCCTCACAAGTCACCCTGGGAAGGGTCTGATGCTGGGGGAGGCGAAGGAAGAGACAGGAAGAAGAGAGAAGTTTCCTTGCCAAGTCACTCGATTTCTTGGTCCCTCACTCCTGGAAATGTCATTTGGGAGTATTCATCACTAATGGAAATGAAAAGGAGACTTTTTCCTTCATCTTCCCATTTTCTTTGTCGGTCTGCCTCCAAATTACATCTTATCTCCAAATTAGATATTACTTCCAAATAAACAAATGCTGAACAACAAAAGTCCTGTGCTTTGTTTCCCAGCTAGATCTGATTAGCAGAAGAATTTTATTTAATCTTTTTGCCAGATGGATTCCCTGTGATTAAGGATCACTTAACTATTGTGTCAGTTTTTGTTAAAAGTAATCTCTTAGAGAGAAAACATCTTTCTTGTAAGCAATTGATGTTTCCATTAGACCATGGATGATGATAGCAATTCTCTTACATGTGTGGACTCAAAATATAGGAAATCTTCAGAATAGGCCATTCTTTTAGGAGAAGCTACAACGCAGTAGTTACAGTTTTGCTGAGATTATGGTAAAGAAGACAGTTCAGAAATTTTTTTAAAAATTACCTTTCTCACAGTGAGGCCCATAAAATCCATCCGGACATTCACAGACATGTCTTTCATTGCAAAACCCTCCATTTCTGCATCCTCCTGGACACTCCGCTTCATAAAATATAATGACAATCTTAATTGGATATTACATACTTCAACTGTCAGCCAGCTTTCAGTAAGATCAATATATTCCTTTGAGACAACAGTAAAAACATTTCCTGACAGGCAGGCAAACGCTGACAGAAATGGAAGTTCAGCTAAGACCTCCTCAAGAGAAATTAGCTTCTTTTTTTTGTTAGTCTACAAACAGAGGTTTCATCACGTGCTCAGACAAATGCACGACGTGCCTGTTGACAGGCTGTGCAATTCCATTGCTCTGCTGTTCTGTAAGAGCAAGAGTAATGTGGATGCTCTGCACAATCCAGCACTTTCTCCTCTGTGCGGAAACGAGCAGGCAGCCCATGCAGGACTCGTACCACTGGTTAGACCTGCCCTTAGTACACAGGACCAGTTTCAATTTCTGCAGCTTTAATTAGACTGCACTGCAACTTGCATTGAATTAATTACTATATCTGTTACTATTGAGGTGACAAAGTGATGAAATCTGTATTCAAAGAGTCAGCTTCAAGGTTAGATGAAAGAAGGTCAGAAAGGAAGATGAAAGCACTCCTGCACAGTGGTCCTATATCATCACTCAACTCATTCACATCTCAACTATTGATCAAACACTGGTTAAAGCATTTGGCAACATTAGCTGCACCATGCAAGGATGAGAAATACCTCTGGTTACCACCGCAATCCTCAAAACACCAAAGTTGATTGAACAAGAGGCAACACAAATTGAACCCTAAGGAACCCTATGAAAACATGACTGCTGGGTTGAAAAACAATTGCTCAAAATTACCTTCCTAGATGTCTCACAGAGAAGGTGGCAGGCAGGAGAGGCTGCCTATTCCCTCACAAAAACTGAACATCACTTGTGCTCAGTGGTCCCAGGACCACAGGGCAGCTTTTGCAGAGTAGGCATGACCTTCTCATCTTGATGTTATGCTGGATGACACTCCAAGTGACAAGGTTCAAAAACTCTGAGGTAGACCTATATATCTCAACCCAAACTTGGAAGCCATCTATTAGACAGCAATTGGCTGTAATGTTGGCATCATGTCTTTTATTTTTCCTTCAGTGTAACGGTTCTGTAAACATACGTGACTGACAACACCTGCCAACAGCATCTTTACCTCTTTTCCATTGCCTCATCAGGAACTGCTGGCACCTACCATCCCTAGGCTGTAAAGATGTACCATGGATTCACACTGATCCCCAACTGCTTCAAACTGAAGCAGTTACAGCCTTTAGCGTCCGCTTGTTTAAAGTGACAAGGAGTAGCAGGATGTCTATAAACTCAGGAGGATCAGGTTGCCTGAGACATTTTTGCAGCCCACAGAGGCTGTTTAAACTGTAACTCCTATTAATAGAGAGGAAAGCATAATCTTGGACTTAAAAAATTTGAATGATTCTCCCTTCTGATATTTGAGTCAGGTGACATATCTGTTAGACACACACAAATAAACTTTTGTTTTTGAAAATTTATCTAATAGCTGAGTAGAGCCACAGTAAATGATTGCTGCTATAACTACGAGCAGTGTTCTGCTGTACTCATGTAATAGCTTTCTATTCAGTAGGATATGAAGGGTAACTCTGAGACTAAAAAAAAGGAAAGAAAATCCAATGTACTGGCCAGGTGGCTGGATATGGTGTACAACTGCCAAACAGGAAAGAGAAAGGTGGAAAGATGTAATTTTAAAACGCTCTTGTATCCCAGGCCATAGACATATGAAGCAAAAAGTGTTGCTTTGAAAGTAAAGCTGTTTGCAGCAGTAGTGATAGTGGTAAAGAATTTTTGGTCTTATTGTGTTCCAATACTGTTGTCTAGGACTCTTTCTGGGAAAGCTTCTCTCTTTGTACCCGAATGCAGAGCTCCTATTCATTACAGAAAATGCATGCTTAAATACATACCATTTCAAACAAGAAAATAGGAAAACAAATTTTTTTGTGTGGCCACCTCTTAGCCACAAGAAAGTCCCTCCTCTCCCACAAAATTGCTCCCTCACTCCCCTTGCCTCCTCTGGCAGGAACCTTTCTGGATGGCCGAGAATGACTGGAAACAGTGACCAGTGCCCTGGCAGGAGGATTCACAGCTCCTCGCCACGAGCGACATCCTCCAGAGGAAGGAAACTCACCCCTACTCTAACACCAACCGGTAAGGACATTCTCATCCTTCTCAGCATCTGTCACAAAACACTGTGGTGACTACCTCGCTGGGTAGAAGGCAGGAGCGGGAGTGACCTGCTCTGTGCTGGAAGAGACAAGGTGAGAAACTCCTCCTCTGCCCACCTCTAGAGTTTGGGAAGTCATTCTTGCCTCTCTCAACTGGCTCCAGGAACAAAGGACTGGGACAATAATCGCCCCCAGCTTTTCTGAGAGGCCATATGATGCAATACTGCTAAACTGCTAAATATTGCATCTCATATCAAAATAGTAACAAAACCAACAAACAACTAGCACAGAAACAATAACTTGGATGAGTACTACTGCTAAATTGAGTTTGGAGCCCTCTCTGTTTAAGTCACATTTTTCCACAGCACAGACCTGTAACTTTGTTCTATTAGATTACTTCAACACTATTTCCAAAGTTTATTAAGTTCAGTATCTTTGAACTGAAAATAAAAAGATAGCAAATGTTTTGTGTTTTATTTACATTGCACACACAACTTTGTACATGAGATCTGACTGATTTTACTTCCATGAAGCTCCCATTTTCCTTCCTGTTTCTCTGCCCACTTCTTCTTCCTTTTCCCTGGGCTAATCGGCAGCAGCAAGGCTTCAAAGGAGACAAGCAGCTTTGCTATTTAGGTGTAGTGAGGTTTCAAAGAATAAACAGCTCCTGCTCCTGCTGCTTGCTCTTTGAAGCTACACTACTATCAATTAGCTCAGAAAAAAGAGCTCAGAGAAGAAAGTGTGAGACTGGGAACAAAGATTTAATAGAAGGAGGATAAAAATCTCACTCTTTGTACAATCAGCCCTGTCATGGGTTAATTTGATACAATTGCACACAACGTGGGATAACTGCCTTATCTGAGATACCGATATTTCAATTTCCACAGCCTAAGTTCAAAGTGATAATTATAGTTGTTTGTAGTGTATCAAATTAATCCAAAAGTCTTATTACATAGTGTTTATAGTTCACAGATTGATTGATTAAACAGGTTGCCTCCTTTCCAAGTAAACACTGCAATAACTCCATGCTGCCCTTCTTTTACCAGTGCATGTTGTGTCTTTACTGCTTGATGGCTGCAAGTATTGAGGACCAGCTTCCACCACCTGGCCTGTATCCAAAACCAAGAGGTTGCCCTCTGAGCTACAGAGAAGGTAAAATTTTGCAAAAATATTCTGATTTCAGATTTTTGCATTTGGTTCAGATGTGCAAGTTGAGATTTAAGGAACCATTGAACTAAGGCACCAAACAGTATTAACTGAAGTCATTGTCCCTACTATAGATCCCAGAAGTTCATTTCTCCAAATTATGCGCCATTTCTGGAAGCGTAAGCCTCAGCTTGCTTTCTCAGGACTAGCCCTCCTCCAAGTACTTCAAATCATTCGATAACAGCTGCTTCTCATATGATACATTTCTGTCAATATCCTTGACACAATGAGCCGTGAACAGGAGAAGAAATGCCTCCAACCTAATCTGCTAAGGGAGACGGAGTTGACAGTAAGAAACGAGTTAGTAAACATATAGTAAATGAACAGCAAACCCACAGACAGAGTCATAACAGCCTGGCATTCACCACCATTGCTACACATTGTGTGACCACTTTACTTCCATCTTCTCTAGCTCTTATCCTGAATGAAACATAAGAAAGTAAGGTGACCTGGTCTAAGAGTAATCCAGCGTGTTCTCTTTAGTGTTACCTTGCTGACAGGTTTTAAAGAAGATGGCATTCTGAGGGGTCTGGAGAATAATATTGCCTTCTGAATTCATTATGATCACATTCACTTCAAATGCAGCCACCCCATCTTGTTTTCCAAGGCAAGGAAATCCAACCTGAACAACTTAAAAGAGAATAATAATAATATTTATATTTACAAGCATATATATCTATATACATATAAAAGCATACATCGAAATACTAAAAAATATAGATAATATTCATATTTAAGCTTTCGAGTAATGCCATTGATGAAAACCTGTAACACAGAGATACACAGACCACCTTACTCATAGGTGGCTCCAGGACTGGAAGTACAGCAGCACAGGAGATGAGCCCAACAGCCTGCAGCACAGGCAGTGACCTTAACACAACATACTTGCTTGCAGATGAGGCGATTATTCATGTGGAGGTATCTAAAGACACACCAAAACAAGCTGGAAGTCAATATTTAATTTTCTAAGCGGAGTTGATCACTTTTGAGTCTAAATTTTGCTGGCTGTCATAGAACTTTTGCAAAAACATCTTAAATGTTTTGGGGAAAAATGTTGATTTAGACATGTTTTGCAGGTTTGGGTATTGCAATTAATACTTAAATAAGATACTGATTTAATCAAAACTTACTCCATAAAGTGCTGGCAAGATGGTACACTTGATAAATAAGATCATGGGTGCAAATATTTAAAAAGAAGACAGAGACGCATCACTCCGATAGAACTTGTTAAGTGTAACGATATTTGGAGATTGCCTTTCCAGGAAAAGTATTCAAAAACTTTTGAACTACAAAGAGTTTAAGCAAATAATTAAGGCCAGTAAATCTGGAGTATTTTAATGAGGAAGCAAGCATGATACCTCAGAGCTATGGAATGCTCTTCTGTGATTGTCACAAGTGATCTCAAATAATCTTCAGATGAAACGATTTTATCTCTTTTCTTCAAAACTGGCTCTTCCTAGCTGCTTTATAAGTTAGATCCAGCTAATACAAACTGTTTATTCATTTATTCCGAAGCTGGTCTTAATTTCAGAACCATATATTGAGCTAACAGCCCTACATTTCATTTGTTTTAAATTGCTTCTTATAAAAAATTTTGCGAGTCATAATCGGGCTATTTTTGTTATTTGTTGCCTTAGAATACAGAATAATGCGTTGAAACACATTCTGCTTCTGCTAAGTCCTACAATCTGAAAGGTCTGTTGTAGTTTTCATTATAAAGCAATTTCAATGTTGAAGCACTTCTACACCAATCTTTTAAAAAAGACTGTTACAAAAAGCATGAAACCATACAGTAAGAAGGAAACTCTTACAGCGGATTAAATACAGGTTAAATGCAGTAAACTTCTTAAACTGCAGTGACCTTCTTACAGTGCAAGTGCAGGAAATCAGAGCTTGTAGTAGGATGAGCGTGACTGCTGAGCAAATTCTACGGGGAGGAAGATGTGGCAGACATTTAATGATGGCACTATAGTCATGTACAGACTTCACTGAATCAGTAGCAAACCCCTCATCTCCCCCGAGATTTGGTTATGGGTTTAAATGCCTAGGGCAAAGATCAGGCATTCATCTCTTAGGGCTAAAGTCCGAGGGGACAGGTCAGAAACCCCTTATTCCAGCACTCCCCACCCTGGAAGCATCCGTATTTTTGGACTTTCCCTGTATCTGAACTCCTAGGCACATAGAAATGCAGTAAAGGGCCCTCCTAAGAGTCATAAGCACTTGGATTCTGGCTGAGCTCTGTGGTGGTTCAGAGCTGAGACAAAGTCCTTAAACTCTGCCTGAATCCCTGCTTCTTCATGCCTGTTTGAATAACGCTGAGCACGCAGCAACAGCACTACAGTCAAAACCAAGCACAGAGCAAAAGAGTGGTTCCTTTGCATCCAGAACCACGGCCGGGAGATCCTGTGGGCTACAGAAGCACTTAGCAGGGCAAACCTCAGGTCTGGCCCCTGCTTCCCAAATTCAGGATACAATTTACATTTGCCCATCATTGGCTAAAAACAAGGAGAGGGAGTCACAACTCGGGGCTTTACACTGCTAACCATCATCCCATCAGCCACAGAATTGCCTCTCTTGCACATGTACACCTCTGCATCCTCTGGAGCACTTGCACCCAGGGCTGCAGAGCAGAGGGCTCTAGCCAGAGTGAGGAAAATTTATTGAAAAGGAACCTAAGGAAACCCAGCGATTTATATCTAATTTAATTTTAGCTGGCAATTAGAATGCTCTCCTGGGAGAGGATGTGGAGGATGCAGGTCTAATCCTTTTTTTCGGGGTGCTGATGCCTTTTCCTTTTGTTCAGGAAAACAAGGTTCACTGAATTGTCTCCAGTAGAGGCAGGTTGAGATAACTCTTGTGCATTTGCACAGGTCTTCAAGTTTGCAGGCAATTGCTTTACCCACTTGGCTACCATGCAAAAGCCACCACCAAAAGCCACCTACAGTCTCAGGGGTGGGATTGCCTCAGGCACATCTCTGAATTACCAATCTTGGCAGACGCTGGCATGCAGGATCTGGGGAGGAGTGGGAGTCCACGCACAGCCCTGCAGCCCACGTCCTTCTCTGTCAGCGTGGCAGAGTGAGCACAGACACTGCTGCACCTGGAGAAGGCACCAGTTTCTCCCACCAAGCCTGGAAAGAGTTTCAGCACCTTTGGCTGCTCCGCATGTACATTTTAATGTGTGAACACCAGCAGTGGGCAGGGAGAGGAGGTGTCCTGAGCCTGGCCAGTGGGCTGGGGCACTGTGTGACCCGCATGAGGCCGTGCTGTGTTGGCAGCCCAGGGGTGTCAGCTGGACTGATGGCATCAGCACAGCCTCATGTGGGCTGGTGCAGACAGGGGCAGGAGGGGTCGGCTCAGGTCACTCAGAGGCCCAGCTCCTTCTCAGTCACAAGCTACTACATTTCTTCTGGGCACAGACCAAGAGCTGCTTTTACTTTCTCATTGTGGTGTTCAAGACGTTAATCACTGTCACTACCAACGACGCCTGACTTCGTTTCGAACTTGCTGACCTCAGTTTGAACCACCGGATCTTCAGATCTACTTTGCAGGCTTTCCCCTGTGAAATGCACAGCTGGCCTCTTCTCATTGGGCAGGTACCCACACTCCTCTCAAACATCTTCTTTTGGACAAGCTGGGTAGTCTTGAACTCTTTAAGATCTCACTGAAAGGCATCTTCTCCAGCCTCCTTAACATCTTACCACGTGTTTAGGCGTAACAATACTCGTGTCATGAGCACTGAATCAAGTAGCAATCATGGGATTTGGGGGTGGGATTTTCAAATCAATCTAAGGAACCTAAGTAATTTAAATCTAATTTAAATTTGAGAAGAATTTGATACCTCATCTCATTAAGGAGATACTGGATCAGAGAAAGGTGAGACAAGGACAACAAGGCTACACCCAGGGAGCAGCAATTGAATAGGTTGTGACTCTTCAGCCTGGGAAAGAGAAAAATTAGGGGGGACGTAACAGACATCTACAAAATCATGACTGGCATGGATAGGACCAACGGTATGGATTAACTGCCTCTACCAGTACAAGGACTAGTGTCCATCAGGTGGAGCTGTCACAGACAGACTGGAAACAACAGGAGGGGGATCTTCATGCAATGGGAAGCAGTGAACTCCTTGTCAAAGCAATTTGAGATACCAGAAGATAATATGGACTCAAGAAGAGCCTGGACAAGTACTGGGAAGAGAGATCTGTAAACCATGTGGGGTTATAAAGAAGGCAAATCACTTAAGACTCAGGAAATACTCCAAGCTGAAACTAGTCAGAGCTGAGAGGGTAAACAGAAGTATCACATATGCTTGCCCTCCTTCTACTCTTCCACAGTTCTTCTTACGGCCACTGTTGTCCGTAAGAGAAAATACACACTAGGCAGGCCCTGAAACACCAAAGCCATCCTTATGCTTTATTGGTGGTAGGCCAACATCCTCAAAGAAGTTTTAAAAGTCCACTGATTTTGACAAGACCACTGGGTTCAACTACCTCTGAGTAAGATATCTAACTGTTCATCCTCATTCTTGTTTCCCACTCTCATGTTTAATACAGTTGTCTTTCCTCTTTTATTCCTCCTTAATTGTCTTTAATGTTATCTCTTGGGCTAAAATGCTTTTTCAAGAAATAGCTCACTACTGTTGATTTGTTACTAAATACAAGCTTGTGACTGAATTTCTTTTGACATGCATATGTGTAGAAAAATTATTTGCTAATGCAGTAGATCCAGGTAAACTAGACTAGATTTGTCAGAGCTGTTTTGCAAACACATAAATTATAGAAATAACTACAAAGTAGCAAACATTCACTACTTTTATAGCATGTGTTTATTTAAGACTACTTAGCTAATTTTGGTCAGCTAGCAGGCAGTGTAAAAAAACCACCATCACACTAGTGGCTCACTGTTAAAGAGTGTACATGCTTCAAATACTGTACGTGTACTGATTATCAATCCCTATTAAACACTGGACTCACTATAAAGCCAAACAGGCCTTAAATACAGCTTATGTATATTAAGCGCAGTGGCACGCTGCACATGATCCACGTAAGGAAACAACATGGACATGCCCCTGTTAGTCCTGGAACTGAGGTACCAGCGCTGCAAACAGGGTAAGTCCTTTTTGCTTTAATCAGACCTCCCAACAAGATGGTTAACAGACCTTCTGCTGGGACTATGAGATCCCATCTCTGGCCTCCCTGCACTTGTAGATTACATTTTCCTAAACACAGTCAGAAGGAGATCATTTTGGTCTAGCCTTTCCAGATAGCTAAAAATTACTGGACAAACTAGCTTCTATTAGAGGATGCCGAGTGCAGAGCTTCCCATGTATTTTACCTGCTTTATATGGAGACGGAAATAATGTTTAACAAGAACTTTGTCTTTGTGACTTTTTTGTTACTTTTAAATGTCTTTACTTGCCAACTTAGTGGGCTTGGAACCAATTAGATTGCAGCAATTACGGTACAACTATTGCAGCACTCTTCACACAAATCCACTTTCAATGCCAGTCATTCAATCCACACTGAAAAGAGACACCAATCAGTAATGTTAACCAGGTGCCACAGCAAAAAGCTTCAACATTACCTCGACATCATTCTACCACAAGCGGAAAATGCAGGATATCAAACATGAACTTTCAGAATTTATACATTGAAAAAGAAAAGAGAAAGAAATACTGAGCAAAGATGTAAACCTGTATATCAGTGCTCCAGTTGCAGCCCCATCCTCCTGTTCCATTTCTTTCGTATTTTATCCCACATGGTCTTAGGTTGGCTAAGGCTGATCATGAAACCATGATCCCTAAGACACTACTATCATACAGATGTACATTTCTGACTTGCTGCCAGAAACTACCATGTAGTAGCCCTGGAAAAAATCGTGTAGACTGTTATTCATCCACTTGAGAGCAAAGTGGATTTGATAACCTCTCATGGAAAGCTTTTTTACTCCACTGGCTCACTGTGCAGCACGGTGCTTCTGGAGCACTCACATTGGCTTGGGCTCAGCCTCTGCTGTGGGGCTATAAACTCCAGTGAAGGACTAAGAATGCATGACTAAGGGAAAAGTGGCAAATCATAATATTCTAAATCAGAACTTGTGTCTGTGAGCTGAACACCTGATGACAACAGCTGACCCCAACTGAAAGCAGAACATCTACAAACTGCAAGCTCTGAGAAACAGAATAATTTTATAACTATTCCTTACAGTGATCAAAGATTTTGTTTTCCAAATATTACACAACTTAAGTAATAATACTCATGCACATGAATTTTATGCAACAATTTTGCACAAGTTTCTGCTGATTTATCTACACATAAAAGCTTCATGTGACTTGGCTCAGACAAAATATGCTGCTGTAGTCAGGCAAGGCACTCGCAAACTTCAGTGTCAAGCACTGTCGCAAGCATCTCTTTAGCAATAAACTTCAGAACTGCAATTCATAATAAAACATTTAGACTTTACTAGCTGTGGAATATCTTTTACAGGAATACAATTTATAATATCAACAGCACAAACCTGATGCTTTATGAGGAACTGTTCCAAGCAGAGGGATATTTATAGTTGGATCAGCCATTATGCCTTTATCCAATGAGCGCAAAGACAGGAACTCATAGAAGTACTCAGCCTATGACAAAATAAATGAAAAATTGACAGAAGCAACTATTTAGCATATAAACTACAGCAGAAAAATACTACACTTTTCATTATGCCATTCACTGGATTTGTTTCTATTATTTCCTTGAGTGCTTCCTTCACCTAAGCATGATTTTCAAACAATTTCCTTTTATTTCAGAGATTGCCAGTGACCATAGAGTAGCTACAATACAGCATAACAGCAAGGAAAATGGCATGCATACATTGAACAAGTGTTTTACAGAGAAGACATTTTTTACAACCCAAACCTTTTATCTGGCAGACCACAAAAATGTGAGAACACTAAGCTAATTCTTAAAGCTGTTTTTTGGGGGGCAGAATCCTCCTGAAACTGACTGGTGAGCCTGGATAACCTGCCTGCACTACGAGCACAGCTTAAAGGACATACTCCCATGCATGATACCAACTGTAGCATGAGAATATCCAAGCTTGCTCTTGGTTGATCTGCACAGCACAGCACATTGCCTTGGGGAAACAGTGCCAGTCAATGAATCACCATGTTACTGGAGTGCCATGCTAGGACACATATATTGCTTACAGCTCTGACACTGCCTTGTTCAACTAAAGTTCATTAAATAGTTCCACGGATGGAGTTGAGAGCTTTTCTACAGAGTTGGCTTCATGTCAGTCATCATTAACTGCAACATAAATGATTTGTTTTGGCGATTCCTCAAAGATGTTGGCATGATTTAAAAACGACTTTCTACTACCTTCATCCTACTCCTGATATGCACCTGCATTGTGACACAGATTGTAGGCTTTGGTACTTCCTTCTGTGGGACCCTGGCCTCTCTGTTGAGTCATCTGTTCAATATTTCTTCATATTCGATGCAAAGTGACGTCATGCGTTTGCAGTGTAGCTGAACACACCATGTACACCTGAGATATATGCATCTTAGCAAGTCACTGGAGGCTTCCACTACTGTCAATGGTGCAGCTGCAGGTGTGTAGAGCAAGTGGAAATGAACCTTTTCCCTAAAGTCTGGCTTCTCATTTACTCTGAAGCATATGAGGGATCACAGGTAATTGTATCTGTGGCTCTCAGAAAAGCACTTGAGACCTTAGCAGAGGCACTGGCAAAAACACGTCTTCATCCGGGAACTCATTGCTAGTAGACTGTAGTGGTACGTCTGCTTGTTAGCGAAAACAGTGAAACAAAGAGAGATCAAAGCCAAAATTTTATGAGAACTTTGGGCTGATAAATGGTAGTTAATTTATGTCTTCAAGATGACACTGTCCTTAGCCAGAAGACTGTCCTTTTTCTCCTGTAATATCTTGACTCCCTAGTACAAGGAAGATGTGGACTTACTGAAGTGAGACCAGTGAAGGGCCACAAAGATGATAAGGGACTGGAGGATCTCACGTACAGGGAGAGGCTGAGAGAGCTGGCACCACTCAGCATGGAGAAGGCTGAGAGGCAATCTAATCAATGTGCATAAATTGCCAGGCTCTGCTCAGTGGTGCCCAGTGACAGGTCAGGAAGCAATAGCACAATACAAAAAACTCCATCTGAACTTGAGAAAACACCTTTTTACTGAGCAGATGACTGAGCACTGGCACAGGTAGCCTACAGAGCATATGAAGCTTCCATCTGCGAAGATATTTAAAACCCAACTCAACATAGTTCTGGGCAAGCAGCTCTAGGTGACCCTGCTTGAGCAGAGAGGTGGACTAGATCATCCTGAGATCAGACTGGTCTCAGATTAGCTTCAGTCCTTTTGTAATACTCTCCTCTGTTACCCTGAGCAGAAGCCCTGGTAGCATGAGACAACCAGAAAAGCACTCATGAGCTGGGCAGAAAGGTTGTTATGAAATTCCTGATCAGCCCTGGCCAGCACATTGCCACGCTCCATAGGGACAGCAAGGAGACCCCAAACAGCATTCAGGGGCTATACTCTGCACGCACAGTCTTCAGAGGGTGTTGTGTAGGCACCGAGATCTCAGAGGAGGACTCGCAAATCAATAGGGAAGGAAGCAATGAAAGTTTTTAAGGGTGGGTTAAACACATGGAGTATATGTGAGAGGGAGAGGGGACACAGAGAGAAGCAGTAAAACAGGAGATGGAAATTGAAGTCTGGGGTAATGTTCAAAAGGCTGCCTTTAATTAAAGACATTTTTTTTCAATACAATATACCATGCCAAAATATGAAAATAAGCCATAAAGTCAGATTGTGAACATTTTTGTTTTCAAATAAAACTTTGGTTCAGAAAAATAATTCTATGTCTCCACGCATCTATAGAATAGTACAGTGAGTGAGCCAATGCTGTACTGTCTGTTTCTCATTGGTTAGCTTTGATGTTTGGTTATATCTAAACCAGGTCATAATGAGTTGGGATATTAAAACATTATGTTCTTACTATTCTAGTAAACAACAACTGGTAACTAGACCAAATAGCTCCACTCCCATATTTCCATTCCACCCATGCTGTTGTAGCAGGTCAGCTTGTGAGCCAGAGCCCTGACTTGTAGGAAAAGAACTGGAATCTCATTTTCTAGAGTCAAAACGATGCCTAAAGGCAAAGAAAAAAAAGAAAATTTGCTGTGGGAAAGGGGACCAATTACTGCATAAGCCACAATACTCATGGCCTTTCAAGGAAGGAATTCCTCTAACCGGAGTAGAGGAGTAGCAGTGATTCGTGCCTGAGGCAGGGGTATGTTCTGCTCACACATTAAAAAGATGGGAAAAGGCATTGCACAAGCCAACAGACTGCTCAGGAGGAAAGCCACGCATTGCTTTGGGAGGAGATATCTGCTCTTACCATTAGTGTACAAAGGCTTGTACATCTGCTGAGTTGACAAAAGCTGAGCTTCTTGAAAGCACAATATCTAAGAAGACCTGAAACGCCTCAGGCAGATCCAGCTAGCACGACTTCAAAGTTATGAAGTCATGTGCTGAAGAGTATGTTTGCAAATCACGTGTGCTAGATGAATTGGTTACATTTTGATATAAAAATTATATGCAAAAAATCACAGTCTAGAGAGGCTGCACAGTGGAGCAGAGTAGTTTAATTCATCAAACCTGAGAATCTGAAACAAGATTTGGCTGCCATAAATCCTATCTCTTTGGGAAAAATCTTTCTTGACACAAGCTCTACATCCAGTCTCCAGTATTGTCCTGCTGTAATTTGAGTTGATTGCCAATTAACTTGCATTAATCACCATGACTGAAAAGCAAACAACAAATACTTGCTCTCAGCAAATATTTACCATGCTCCAGGCTAGCATGAAATTTAGTCATGACGGTTAATTGAAGAGATAGGTCTGTGCAGTTAAAATATTGTCTAGTGACTACCATAATTTGTGCTGTAAGTGGCCATTGTGAGTGACCTGGTAGTGAGAACAAAATTCTCTTGGATAATGTTGAGAGATAAAGGGGAAAATCCCGTAATCTATAAACTCTTTTCCATTATAAAAGCATTCTCATGACTTTTTTTTTTTTAAGCCAGCCTATGAGCTGTCTGGTACATGAGGGGCAAAATTTGGTACTGAAGCAAAATCTTAGAGGAACAGTGTTATCAGAGGTGATGGAGGAAATGGAGTTTGAGATAAATTGTTGATCTTTGACAATTGCACACTCGAAAAGCACAGAAGACTTCTTGGTTTTGGTTTGACTTTGGGAAGCACTCAAGGAAGAATACGCTTTACTTTTGTGTAAAGACTTTGAGACCATTGGAAACTGAGGCAAGGGCCCCTGTAGACCTTGTCTGAACAGTCTAGGGGCTCGGTGCCTTCAGGCAGCAGGTAGCCCCACACAGCTGCCCTTTAACAGTTCCCCATGTGGGCAAAGCCCTCAGCAAAGAGAGGAAATTTCGTTTTAGGCAAATAATTCCATGGTCAGGATTAACTTTTATGGACTTTAAATGGCCGTTTTCTATAAATCAGAGGAATTTAAAAGGTTATAAAAATAACGAAGCCCTCTAACAAGTATTGTAGCAAACATCTGTCGGCAGTTTGGTTTTAAATTATATACACTTAAAATTCCTACAGAACTCCACTCCTCAGTACAAGACCTACTGCGTTAGAGTTTTCTTATCATTCAGATGCCATGTTTTGCCTACTTTGATTTCATTTCATATTTAATCAAAGCATTCACAGGAATGTGCTTTATGTTTTCTTCATTTTACATGAAAGACGTAGTATTAGAAGTAATGGTAATACCTGAATCGAAGCAGAGTAGCTTAAACTGTTATAGGTCACAGATCAATAACCTAATGAAATCTGCAGCCTTTTTAACAAAGAAAAGAGAATGTGTGTTAGCTTTGCAAGTAGATGTAAGAAATTAACTACGTTTTCTCCTCATTATTTTAGAGAGATCAGTGCTGAATGTTCTATTGTGTTATCAATTAAATGACAAATATATCCTAATGCCAATTTTCTACATTTAAAGAAAGAAACTGATGAAAAAAGTTCCTTTCTATCCCAGATCCATGGATATTTCTGCCTATGCATACACTAGAAGATTCTAGCATGCATTATCCATAGCAGATGCTCACAGCTGCATGTGCCGTAAAAACACAAAGTGAGGCAATATATGTGTTTGTTAGGTGTTCACAGCATGGACTATTGCTTCTCCAAGATATTAACTGCATTAGGTCAGAGAAGTTGGTCCATCTATGTTCCAAGATGAAGCATCTAGAAAAAATTAAGATTAATTTCAACAAAGAGGGGAGGCCGTAGCCATACTGTGCGAACCAGGCTATCGAAGGAGTCTGGCCAGAGTATGAGTATGTAAGTCAGCAGCACATTTTGCTACTGCAGTGCAGTCTAGACACTGCTGTAATGAACAACATAATGATGCCTCTTTAGACAAGCAGATAATAAACTGCCTACAAAGTGTTCTTTTGCTGCCAGGGAAGGCAGCTTTGCCTTACCTGTTAATCAGTCCTGTCAGAGTGGATAAACCATTTTTTGCACCTCAGTGTGACACTCAAAGAGACCTGCCGTCAGCCTCATGAGGTAGTCCC